AAGGAGTGAGTCCTGGGTGTGGGCTGGGGTGGGCTTCATCCAGCACCCGCTTAAAGGCAGTGCTGTCAGGGGGCGAGACCTGTGCTGGGGCATCATGGGGAGGCAGGTGATATGGCCGTGGATGGGTGGGTGACAGGACCCAGGATGGGTGATGTGTGTCCCAGGAGGTGCGGGATACAGCCTGGGGTGGGTGGGAGGGCAGCTGGCTGGTGGTGGGTGTTATCATCCCTGGGAGGTAGGTGATATGAGTTAGGATGGGTGGTGGGTGATACAACTCCCAGAAGGTGGATGCTATGACCCAGGGTGGGCGGGTGGTGGTGGATGATTCCACATGCCACTCAGCCCAGGAAGGGAGACGCAGCCCCTCTCCGCACAGCCCCCGTGCATCCCGAGGTGTTCCTCATCACCCCTCCGTGCTGGGTGGGTGCTTGGTGCTGGTGGATGCCAGGGGCTGTGCTGGGTCACAGAGGCTGTGCTGAGCCCACCATCTCCTGCAGCCCCTCCAAGAAGAAGATGCAGTGCATCTCCAACATCTCCATCATGGTCATGTACCTCATGTACTTCTTGGCTGCCCTCTTTGGCTACCTCACGTTCTACGGTGAGCTCTCAGGGAGGGGGCTGGGGCTCCTGCCGGCACGCCGGCACCGGGGGGTGGCAATTGGCAACGCCAGGGCTCACCCAGCACCTTCCCACTGGTGCCCACAGGCCGGGTGGAGTCGGAGCTGCTGCACACATACAACAAGGTGGATCCCTTCGATGTGCTCATCCTGTGCGTGCGGGTGGCCGTGCTGACAGCTGTCACCCTCACCGTCCCCATCGTCCTCTTCCCAGTGAGTGGCCCCATGGGGATGCTGGGTGGCACCACCACCCCGCAGCTGAGACAAGACCTTGGCAACAGGCTTTGAGAGGGGAAACTGAGGCAGCGATGGGGCTGAGGCCCAGGGACAGGGTGGCAGTGATTGGCAGGCTGCAGGGAGCAGGACTGGCTGAGTGTCAGGGACAGGGCAAGGGCAGGGGTGATGGAGACCAGCAGGGCTGGGGGCACAGGGCTGGGGCAGGGGAAGGGGTGACAGGGACTGGCAGACCCATGAGGACAGGTTTGGGAAGGGATGACAAGAACCAGTAGCCATGGTGCTATGGGGACAGGGCTGGGGCAGGGAAGGGATGATGGGGTCTGGCAGGACCACAGGGACAGAACTGGGAAGGGATGACTGGGACCTTCAGGACTGTGGGGAGAAGGGATGGGGTGAGCCCTAGGTCTAAGGATGGGATGTAACACCCTGTCCCCAGGTACGCCGGGCCATCCAGCAGATGCTGTTCCAAGGGAAGGACTTCAGCTGGATCCGCCACGTCACCATTGCCGTGGTCCTGCTGACCTTCATCAACCTCTTGGTCATATTTGCCCCCTCCATCCTGGGCATCTTCGGCATGATCGGTGTGTGGCAGCGCCCTGCTCCTGTCCCCGCCCCCGGGTGCTGAGCTTTGCTTGACCCTTCCTGTGTCTCAGTTTCCCCTTCTCACCATGCTGGGACCAAGTGGCATGTGGGGGTCCCCAGCACCATCCCTGGCCCAGCAATCTGGCTCCCATGGGGGCTGCCAGCCACTTGCTGCACTGCTGGCCGGCACTTGCTCTTCCCCTGGGTATTTCCCTTGATCCTCAAGCCGGGCTCCCCCCACTAGGCACCCGGCTTGGTGCCAAGGCCCTGGTGCAGGGGGAGGAGGGGGGGCATGGGGACAGTGCCAGGACGCGATGTCCCGGGGTTCCTGGAAAGCTTTGCCAGGGCTGGGGGTG